CAATTAACTTTAAATTACAAATTTTAATAAGAGACTTCCAAAAAATTACCATGTTCTTTTCCAAAGTATAAATGATCACATTTCTTGGATTAGAATTCAACTATAATGTAATGATGTAAGACTCCTAGATTGAGGTAGAAACATACTTTGCTTGGAACTTAAGAATAGCATCTCTTATTTTTTTCAAAAAGGAAAACAGACTGGCTCTGTGGCACAGCAGTAATGTGCTGCTCAAGAGAAGCCAGCTTCTATTTGGCAACTGTGGTTTGAATCCCAGGCCTACTCAGCCTGAAGCAAGCTGGGCACACATGAATGCCAGGGCTCCAGTGAGACAGATGACAGGAGGAAGGCGATTGTGGCATGACCCGACCTTGTAGAGGGTACTCATCTTTCATTGCGATGACACTCTTGCAAAGTAGATGACACATTTTAGTAAATACTTTTCAGTCTTTTTGGATGCAGGATACTGAAAGATATTTACCCTTTCCTGTGTGACTCAGAGCTATAAATAGCAACCTTATTGGGTGAGGAGCTATTTGCTTCTGTACAAAATGATGTCTTTGGGCTTTTTTAATTATTATTATTATTGTTTGTTTCTCTGCCTTCTCTCTTGCTGTCTTTTTTTTTTTTTTTTAATTATCAGTGTGTCTGTTTATATTAGCTTCTTTCCTCTCTTTTTTGTAGTTTAATCTACTGAGGGAAGCCAACTAACTAAGCTCGTTAGAATTACCTCAAGTGTAGTATAAACAGATTCCAACCGATGGTCTATGGAATTCTCTGGTGACTGCAGGACATTAGTGTGTGGACTTTGTCTTTGTCAGCACTGGCTCTAGAGGCTTATTTTCCTTGCTTCTTGTTTTTGGGCAAGATTCCAAGTAAGTGAAGGGTTACAGTACACGGATTATCTGTAGAACTGACAGAAAGGCAAAGCTAATTAAATTGCCCATATTCTTTTAGTTTTGTGACCCCTTTATGTGCAGAAAAGCCAAATCTTTTACTTTAGTAAAATTAATATTCTTAATCTAAGCAGTGTCTTTCCACTGTAAGCTTAAGTCCATACCTTTACTAACATAAACAGCAAGGATCTGGATGATTCACTTCCTTTTAAAAAGGATTACAGGTAAGACAATGAATGATTAATATGAGCAATCTGTCGTGCTTCCAAATTAGATATTACTCAAAAAGCAAGAAGGCTTTAGTCAACATTGATCACTTCTTCTTTCCTCTTCCTAATGATATAGATGTATAAAAATTTTTTAATTTATATTCTGTCTGTGACTCAGATATGCCAACTGTATATTATAATACTGTCTAAACTTCAACCCTCTTCAATGTTAGTCTTTTCTCAAATATTTTCTTTGAAGTTTATTTATTTATTTATTGAGGGTGGTTGGGAAATAGAGTATTGTCACCTGTGATCTTCCCCTCAGGCTTCTGGCCAGCCAGGATCACAGGCATACAGGGCACGTTTAGGCCAATTCAGAAGCTGAACCCCAGGCAATTCCATATGGCTCCTATATTGCACAGTGGTGCCCTATCACATGCCCCATCACAGCTAGTTCATTTCCTCACTTACTAGTTTTTTTGTTTTTTGGGGTTTTGGGGGGGGTTGTTTTTTGTTTTGGGGGGGTTTTTTTGAGAGATATTTTGGTATAGGGTGCATGTGCTCACCAGAGAGACAGAGACAGAAAGTGAGAAATAGTCTCTTGGCAATCCCTTCTCCTTTCAGGATCTTGGGCATACATGCACACAGGCCTGGTGTGAGTTTTAAGCCACCAGGTTTGGGACTCGAACCACAGTCGACTATGTGAGAGTCCAGTGATGTAACCATTATGCCATCTGCTAGTCTCCATGTCCTTATGTTTTAAAAAGAATACTTGTTTAATATTTATTTTACAACCATGAACTATGAGCCATGTATTATCAAGAATAGAAATAAAACATGACTTGCAACTTCCAGTGGAGTAGACACAGTCCTTTAAAAGTAACATATGGTGGGGACCGGCAGGTGGCATGGTGATTAAGGATGCTGGACTCCTAAATGGCTGATAGCGCTTCGAATCCTGGATCTGGCAGCTTGCTTTCTCACTTTCTCTCTGTCCTTTTCTGGTCAAATTAAAGTAAATAAAATTTTTTTAAGTAATGTATGGTGGACATTTCACTTAAAGAACAATTAAGCCTTGGATTGATTCAGTCTATGTAGCCAAATATGAATGTTAAATAAAGAGAGTGAAAAATGTCTTTTTTTTAAAAAAAAGAGATTTAAAAACATCTCCTAGAGAGCCTGGCAGGTGGTGTGGTGGTTGGGGTTCAAACCCCAGACCTGGCAGGTTGCTTTCTCACTTTCTCTCTCTCACTTTGTCCCTCTCTGGTCAAATTTTTAAAATAAATAAATAAAGTTAAATAAAAATAATTCTTTTTAAAAATCTCCTAGAATTAGCCTTCTCTAAGCTTTAAGTGTGCTAACAATCACTTTTTAGAGGTTTATAGTTGAAGCACATTCTGACATCATTAAAAACACAAATTATAGGACCAGCTCATAGCATGGCAGTTACAAAACTGGATGCCTACATGGTTCAAGTCCCAGAACTTGTGGCTTGAAAAATCATGCTAGCTAGGCACCTGTGCTTGTGTGCCCCAAAATCCCAGGAGGAGAAGGGAGAAGAAGGGAGTGTGGTGTGGCCATCTCCCCAGGGGGTGAGCTCTTACCTTCTCTCTCACCATCTCTCTCTGTTTCTGAAAAGCACTTTGGGAACCAGCAGTTAGCGTAATGGCTATGTCGCTGGATTCCCACGTAGTCGACCGCGGTTCGTGTACCGGACCCGGTGGCTTAAAACTCACGCCGGGCGCATGTGCGTGCGTGCCCAAGATCCCGAGAGGAAAATGGAGGAGAAGGGATTGCGGCGTGACCATCCCCCCTGGGGGGTGATTTCTAGCTTTCTGTCTCTATGTCTCTGTCTGTCTGGCGAGCGCACGCGCCCTATAGTGAAAATCTCTCCAAAAAAAAAAAAAAAGCACTTTTACCTTATGGGGAAAAAAACTTAAAAAAAAAAAAAAAGAACACAGATTAACAATCAGGCTCAGGAATGAAGATCCTCCTCCCCTCATAATTAGGCAATCAGGCAATCATTGTCTTTGGGTCTTCTCCTGGGAGAACTTCTGAAACTTTTTTTTTTCTACCAACAAGTTTTATTAGACAGTAGGCCAGGATGTTGGTCTTTACAATACCAACATGGGTGAGAAATCAAACATTCAATCACTTGGGAAGTATCTATTGGGAAATTTTTAAAATGCTTTTTAAAAATATAAAGCTGGGTGAACCAGCAGCTAGCGTAATGGCTATGTCACTGGACTCCCATGTAGTCGACCGTGGTTTGCGT